CGGAGGAAGAGGAGGGGACACCCAAATGAGACTGGTCTACCACAGGGATGGGAGCACGTGGTGGGAACTGAGGGGACCCCGTGTAAAGCGGCTGTCTACTATTGAAGTGGGGGCACACGAAGGGGATTGGAAGGAGACCCCAGTAGTAGAAGACTGGGCTACCATTGTGGGGGCATGTAAAGGGCACTGAGGGGATGCCCAAGTAAGGAGGCTGGTCTATCACCAGGGTGGGAGGGAGCTGTTGGAGAGAACTGATGAAATCTCCACGTGTGAGGGCTGTTCTACCATTGGAATAAAGAAATCTGGAGGAGAATTAGAAGAACCCTCATGTGAGGAGGCTTGTCTACTCTCGGGGGACATGTGGAGCAAGCTGGGAGGATTCCCATTTGAGAAGGCTGGTCTACCATTGGGGTGGGGGCTAGTGGAAAAAATTCAGGAGACCCCATGTGATGAGGCTGGTCTATCATTGGGTAAGGAAAAAAGTTGGGGTACCCCTGTGTGGAGAGGCTGAGAGGAAACCTGTGTGAGGAGGCTTGTCTACCTATGCAGGGGCCATGTGGACGAAAGTGAGGAGACTGGCCGATTACTGAGAAAGCCACGTGGGAATAGAGGGGACCCACATATGAGGAGGCTGGTCTACCAATGGGGGAGCACCTGGAGAAAACGGAGGGGACCGGCACGAGTTGGTCCACAAGGAGTGGAACTAAAAGGACCCCCACCCCCATGTGAGGTGGGTGATCTACTTTTGAGACAGTCACGTGAAAGGAACTGAGGAAACCCCATGTGAGGTGGCTGGTCTACCTTTGGGGGTGGCACGTGGAGGAAACTGAGACCCCCGCATGAGGATGCTGGTCTACCATTGGGTGGGGGCACATGAAGAGAAACTGAGGGAATCCCCATGTAAGGAGGGTGGTCTCACTGAACGGACCACTTGCAAGGAAGAGAGAGGACCCCTTTGTTAGGAAGATGGTCTGTCTTTGGGCAGGTAACATGAAGGGAACTGAGGGCAACCTCGCGTGAGGTGGCTGGTCTACCTTTGGGAGTGGCATGTGGAGGGAACTGAAGGGACTCTCATGGGAGGTGGCTGGTCTCCCACTAGGTTGCGGGTGTGTGAAGGGAACATAGGAGACCCTTGTTTGAGGAGACTGGTCTACCACAGGGGTGGCAGCACATTGAGGAAACTGAGGGGACCCTTGTGTGAGAATGCTAGTCTACCATTGGGTCAGGGGCATGCGAAGAGAGACTGAGGGACTCCCCATGTGAGGAAGCTGGTCTGTCACTTAAAGGACCATGTGGAGAAAAGTGAGGGGACCCCTGTTTTAGGAGGCTCTTCTGCCTTTGTGTGGGCCACAGAAAGGGAACTGCGGGGAACCCTATGTGAGGTAGTTGGTCTTCCATGAGGGGTGACACATGGAGGGAACTGAGTCAACCCCATGAAAGAAGGCTGGTTTACCATTGCGGTCACGACATGTGAAGACAACTGAGGGAACCCTGTGTGAGGCTGCTGGTCTACCACTGGGTGGGCACATGGAGGGAACTGTGGGGCCCCCAATATGAACAGGCTGATCTACCACTGAGATAGGAGCATGTGGAGACAACAGGTGACTTACGTCTGAGGAGGCTGGTTTGTCTCCGGGTAGGAGAGTGTAAAGCCTGTGTGGAAAGGCTGGCCTACCTTTGCAGAGGCCACGTGGGCAAAAGTGAGGGCAACACTTTATGGGAGACTGGTCTATTACTGAGGAAGTCACGCGGAGAGGGATAGACACAACCTGCCTGTGAGGAGGATGGGGTGGGGTACACGTGGAGAAACCTGAGGGGACCTACATTTGAGGAGGCTGGTCTACCGTTAAGGGTCCACGTGGACAGGAACTAAGAGACCTCTGTGTGAGGTGGCGGGCCTACCATTGGTGGGGGCGCGTGGAAGAAATGGAGTGGACTTCCTGTTTGTGAGACATGTGGTCTACCACTGTGGTGAAGGCGCATGGAGGAAACGGAGGGGACTCCCGTGTGAGGATGCTAGCTTACCATTGGGGTGGGGGCACGTGAAGAAAAACGGAGGAAATCCACGTGTGAGAAGGCTGGTCTACCATTGGGGGTGGCACGTGGAGGGAACGGTGGGGACCATTGTGTGAGGTGGCTGGTCTCCCACTGTGTTGGGGGTGTGTGAACTTAGGAGACCCTCGTGTGAGGATTCGCTTCTATCCTAAGGGTGGAAGCACATGGAATAGAGAGCCCTTGTGCTTATCTACCGTTGAAGGCACCTGAGGAAACTCAGGGGACCTCACGAGAGGAGGCTGGTCAGCCTCTGGTGTGCAGGTGCTTGGAGGGAGGGAGCGGACCGTCATGTGAAAATGCTGGTCTACCACTGGGATGAGGACACGTGGAGAGAAACTGAGAAAATCCCTGTGTAAGACGCCTGGTCTGTCCTTAAAAGGGCTACCTGGTGGGAAATGGGAACCCCTGGGTTAGGAAGCTGGCCTACCACTGAGCGGGTCACATGAAGAAAACTGAGGGGAACCCCATGTGAGGCAGCTAGTCTACTATGGGGAGTGGTGTGTGGAAGAAACGGAGGGGACCCTTGTGTGAAGTGGCTAGTCTAACTTCAGGTGGGCACAAGGGAAAACTCGGGGGATGTCCACATGAGAAGGCTTGTCTACCACTAGGGTAAGGGCACGTGGCGGTGAGTCAGGGGAGCCTCGTGGGAGGAGGCTGGCCTACCATGCAGAGCATGTGGCAGAAACTGAGAGGATTCCCATTTGGAGTGGCTGGTCTCCCGTTGGGGTAGGGGCACAAAAAGGGAACTGACGAGAGCCCCGTTTGAGGAGGCTTGCCTTCCATTCAGTGAGCTACGTAGAGGAAACTGAGGGGACTCCCATGGGAAAAGGCAGGGCTACTATCGTGTTGGTGGCCCATGGAGGACACAGGGGTACCCCCGTGTGAGGACGCTGGTCTACCATTGAGGTGGGGACATGTGAAGAGAAACTGAGAAAATCCCCATGTAAGGAGGCTGCTCTGTCCTTACAAGGGCTATATAGTGGGATCGGAGGGGCCCCCTGTGTTAGCAGGCTAGTCTATTTGTGAGTGCGTTATGTGAAGGGAACTGAGAGGAACCCCATGTGAGTTGGCTGGTTTACTATTGGGGTGGCACGTGGACGAAACTGAGGGGGCCCTCATGTGAGTTGGCTGGTCTACCGTTGGGTGGGCACATGAGGGAAGCTCAGAAGATGTTCACATGGGAAGGCCTGTCTACCACTGGGGTGGGGGCACGTGGAGGTAAATAAGGGGAGCCTCGTGGGAGGAGCCTGGTCTACCACTGGGGAGCATGCAGAGGGAACACAGGATTTCCGTTTGGCGTGGCTGGTCTGCCATTGGTGTGGGGGCACACGGAGGGAACAAAAGACCCCTGTGTGAGGAGGCTGGCCTACCAGTCAATGGGTTATGTAGAGGAAACTGAGGGGACCCCATGTGGGGAGGCTGGACCACCACTGTGGTGGCAGCACATGGAAGAAACTGAAGATACCCCCCATGTGAAGTGGCTGTTTTACCATTTGGATCAATTTTCTGCCCATCTCAGGGCTGTGAGCTGGGGATCCAGAGATGGCCCCAGCCTCCACCCTTGTGTGTGTTTCCCGATTCATGAGGGTGACAGGCAGGAAAACCACCAGTGGCAGTGTGAGGTGGCAAGGACTGTGAGGGTGATAGTGAGGATGATTACTATGATGCTAGTTAATAGAGTGTAATAGTAACAGGAAGTTATGGTTCACCAAGTCTCAGGCACGCTTCTCAGCACTTCCCATGTGCCAGCTCATATCATTCTCTTAACAGCCTAAGAAGAAGACCTTGTTATGTTCATTCCCATTTCACAGACGAGGAAACGGAGGCATAGAGAGGTTAGGAGACTCTCCTTGGGTTAGGTGGCTGAAGTGGTGCATCTCAGAGCAGTGAGGGAGCCCAGAAAAATGCCCAGAGAAGGGAGCAATGATCTGCCAGGAGGAAAGAGGAAGGCTTTTTTTGGGGGTGGGTGGGGTCATTTGACCTGGGCTTTGAAGGATGCTTAGGAGTCCAACAGGCATGGAGGCAATGGAAATAAGTGCAGGCCTGAGGCAAGAAGAAACCAGAGTGAATCCAGCCAGAGAAATCACCCTGGGTCTGCCTTGTCCTTGTGTACAAGAGCCAGGCAAAGGATGGAATGACAGACTGAGAGACAGAAGCAGGGAACTGCAGGGCCTGGGAGGGCAGTGAGGGGCCTGAGAAACTATCTCTGCAATTTAACCCTGGTGGAAATGGGAAGTGACGGTGATGCTACTTAGCCTCAGGACCCTTCCCCAGCCCTCTCAGGATCCTGGTCCTCTGTGAGAGGTAGCCCTGCCCTGGGAGAGACACAGGGATAGAGACACAGAGACACAGACTGGGGTGACAAGGGCCTGTGCAGATGAGCAGCTTGAGGGCATGCGGCCTTGGCAACCGTATCTTCTTCTGTGTTCACTCTTCGTTTGGCCAATGGTTTGACACAGGACATAAATAGTATTTATTCCAAGCTAGGACATTTTGGAAATGAACAGGGGCATGATTAACAGTTACCCAAAGATGACAGATGCAAATCCAGACATTTGGTCACACAGATCACATGGCACCTCTCATGAGCTTGACAGTTATTAACCCACTTAATCCTGAGAAACCTCAAAAAAGAGGTTGCTATTATCCTCATTTTCCAGATGATGAAACTGAGGCACAGAGGAAAGAAATGCATGCATATTAGCACCTGCTCCGGATTGGGCGCTGAGCTAGGCCATTTCACATAAATCCTGTTTAACCCTGACAACAGGTCTGCAAATGACATGCGAGAACCCTGTTTACTGATGACAAAACAGGCTCTCCGACCCAGTCTGCCCACCTGATCCTCAACCTTAGCCTCTTCCACGGCCTGACTGGGTCTCCTCTGTGTAGCTGCTCTAATCTGAAACTTGCCTCCCTGGTTTTTTTTTTTTTTTTCTTTTTAGTTCCCCCACCCTCCTTAGATTGCAGCAGGGAAAGAGGTGTGTCTCCCGCAGAAAAATGTGCAAGTTCTTTTAGGTGAGACGGGAACAATGTGGGCAGGGGGCCTGGCTATGAGGGCAGGGGCTGTGGGTGGGGTGGGGGAGTGCATGGTTGGCAGCAGAACCTGCTAGATAGGCTCACTAGACTCAGACGTGCATGCTCGCTCTCTCAAGAAAACAGGTGCACAAAGTACTAGGTTGGTACAAAGTAATTGTCGTTTTTCTATTAAAGTAATGGCAAAAACCTCCATTATTTTTACACCAACCAAATATATCCCTGTGGATGGGGCAGCCTTTTCCAAGGGGTGTGGCCTCGTGCATTGTGCTTCCCTCTCTGGGCTGTGGCACCTCATCTGGAACTCCAAGGGCTGAGACTCAAGACCCTTGTAGAGCCTCCGCTCTGTACCCGGCTCTGGGGTGGATTCAGGGTTAGGGGGCCTGGGTTCAAATCCAGACTCTACCTTTTTAGATGTGTGGCCTTGGAGCAAATTATTTAGCCTGTCTCTATGTGCTCACCTGGAAAATGGGATGATGAAGATGGTGGTGATGATAATGGGGAGTCCCTCTTGGAGCTGCTGGGCAGATGAAGTGAGTGGCTGGAAGATGAATGCTTAGAGCAGTGCGTGGAAGAGCTGTGCTGCTGCTTCTTATCTTCTAGGGGCAACATGAGAAAAACGACCTCGGCTGGAGGCAGCCTGCCCTGGATGGGGAGGTCCTCACGTAGAACACTGACCCCAGCCGGCTCCTATCTTCAGGTCAAAGTCCCAGCACAGGGACAGGGGTTTGCTGTGAGGTGGGGGTCTCTGGAGTCTGAAGAGCATGTCTGGCATGGGCAGGCCCGACCTGACCAGGCACCAGAAACAGACAGGACATTGTGCACTGATAGGAGTCCCGCAGGCTGAGGGAGCCGTGCCCGGGCACCCGCCGGGAACCAGGCAGGCAGTGGAGGGTGGGGAGTGGGCCATGTGCCCGGGAATGCGGCCCCACCACCACAGCCAGAGATGGAGGGACTGCAGCCCCCGGCCAGCCCGGCGTCTCCCCAGCCTCAGTCAGTTGGGCGCCACCTTTGAGATTTTTGCCTTATGAGTGAGCATTACTATAATTTATTTCATGGTTGTCTTAAGTTTTAATTTATTTTTTCATTTAATTTTTGTTTGGATCTGAGCTGTACTCACATGGTTCAAAAATCAAAGTTTAGTAAGTGCTTTGAGGGGAGTCTGCCTCCCAACCTGTTTCCCACCCCTGCCCCTCCCCCAAAGCCATGGTTATTATTTTACATCAACAAATAGGAACTATATGTATTTGATGTATTTTTCCAATCCAAGCACAATTTTTTAGTATGCAATGCACACACTGCCTTACAACATGCTTTCCTCACTTACTGTTTTTAACTTCTCTACTTAAGTGAATGTAAATGAAAAGACATACCACCACTTTCTGTTGACAGAAGGTAGCTGTGACAATAGCACATGGGGATGGAGCAAGGCCACCACCATATTCCAGTGGGTCCGGTTGTCTGGGGGGGCCCTGAGCTCAAGGTCTGACCTTCTAGTCCCTAGTTCCAGAGAGACTAACAGTTGTTGGTGGGAAAGTGAAGACACCCAACCCCAAGCTGACGTTTCGGCTGGGAAGTGATGAAAAGGACTAAAAGGATTTGGACTGGAAATGCCTCTCCCCACCCTGGTCCTGGTGTATAGCAGCACTGCCATTCCATCAGTGGTCCAAGTCCACACTTTGGGAAACTCTCATCAAGCCCATTCGCCTAGTCCCAAGGGCTGTAGATAGGGTCCTGGGAAACTGAGGTGTTGCCCAGGCTCTGAACCAACTAGCTGTGTGGTTTTAAGTCCTCAGCCCTTTCTGAGCCTCAGTTTGCCCACCTTTAAAATGCCGCTGTTGTTGGACTAGATGAGAGTTCTAATTTCCCCTGTGATTTCTCTTTTGATCCATTAGTTAAGAAGTGTGTTGTTAGTAGCCACATATTTGTGAGTTTTCAAATTTCTTTCTCTTAATGTTAACCAATTTCATTCTTTCATGGTTAGAGAACATACTTTCTCTCCTTTTAAATGTATTGGTGTTTATTTTGTGGCCTAAGATACAGTCTATCCTGGAGAATGTTCCATGTACCCTTGAATGCATATCCTGCTGTTGTTTGGTAGAGTGTTTTATAGAATCCTGTTAGGGCTAGTTGGTTTATAGTATTGTTCAAGTCATTTATTTCCTTTTTGATCTTTTGCCAATTTTTTGTGTACATTATTAAAAATAGGTAATTGTCATTTCTAATTATTGTTGAATTATCTTTCTATTATTATTATTGTTGAATTACCTTTGTGTACATTGGGGCTCTGTTGTTAGCTGCACATACATTTATAATTGTTATAGGTTCCTGATAGATTGATGCTTTTTATCATTCTTTATCCCTAGTAACATTTTAGTCTGTTTTGTCTGGTATTAGTATAGCCACTACAACTTTCTTGTGGTTGCTGTTCACATGACATATCATTTTTTCATCCTTTTACCCTTATCTATTTGTGTTTTAAATCTAAAGTGTATTTCTTATAGGCAGCATATAGTTGAATCTTGTTTTTTGTTTTGTTTTGTTTTGTTTTGTTTTGTTTTAATCCAGTCTGGAAATCTCTGCCTTTTGATTGGATTGTTTAATCCAGTCACATTAATGGTATTATTGATGTAGTAACATCCACCATTTTACTTTTTGTTTTCTATGACTTATGTCTTTTCTGTTCCTCTATTCATCATTATTACTGTATTTCCCATTAAGTGATTTAAAAAATGTAGCATTTAATCATTAATCATTTTTACTACATGTTTTTAAATTTTCTTAAGTCTAGGGCTTTCCATATACATCTTAAAATTTCAGAATCAGCTTTAGATTTATATTAACTTAAATTCAGTTAGAAATTAAAATATTACTTCTATGCAGCTCTATTCCTCCCTTTCTTTTAGCGATATTATTGCTATACATAGTACATCTATAAATATTACAAACAATAATACATTATTATAGAATTACTGCTTTATATAATTTTATGTTTTTGAAGAAGCTAAGAGTAGGAAGGAGAACAAGTGTGAGTTCATAGCTTTTGTTATATTCCCCTTCTTGGTCATTTCTTGTTTTCTTCATTTGTTCTTGTGGATTTGGGTTACTATCTGGAGTCATTTTCTTAACCCAGTACAGCTTTTCTCTCACATATTTCCCTGTTCTGTAATTGGTAAATATATTATATTTTTGTATGATAGGGACAACAATATGTTTTATGCAAATGCTTCATATAATTACTTTTTATTTTTTAAAATTTATTTATTTATTTATTTATTTTTTGAGATGGAGTTTCGCTCTTGTTACCCAGGCTGGAGTGCAATGGCACGATCTCGGCTCACCGCAACCTCCGCCTCCTGGGCTCAGGCAATTCTCCTGCCTCAGCCTCCTGAGTAGCTGGGATTACAGGCATGCGCCACCACGCCCAGCTAGTTTTTTGTATTTTTAGTAGAGACGGGATTTCACCATGTTGACCAGGATGGTCTCGATCTCTCGACCTCGTGATCCACCCGCCTCGGCCTCCCAAAGTGCTGGGATTACAGGCTTGAGCCACCGCGCCCGGCATAATTACTTTTTAAATCAGTTAATGGAAGGATAAAAATATGCATTTGTACTGCCTTTTGTATTTGCATAATTGCTTTTTTTCATGTGGAATCTAGTAATTGTCAGGGGTCATTTGCTTTCAGTCTGAAGAACTTCCTTTAGTATCTGTTGTATGGCTGATGTGCTAGACAAAAAGTGATCCCAGCTTTTGTTTATCTTGTAATGTCTTAAATTAACCTTCATTTTCAAAAGACAGCTCTGCTGGATCTGGGATTTTTGGTTGACAGTTTTTTTCTTTGAGCACTCTGAATATGTTATCCCATTGCCTTCTGACCTCCATTATTCCTGATGAGAAGTTCATTGTTAATCTTATTGGGGTTCTCTTGTAAACTGAGTCATTTTTCTCTCATTGCTTTGGAGAGTTTCTTCTTGTCTTTGGGTTTCAACATTTTTACTCTGATTTGTCTGTTTGTGAATTTCTCTGTGTTTATTTTACTCAGAGTTCATTGAGCTTCCTAGATATATAGATTAATGTTCATGTAAATTTGGGTTGTATTCAGCCATTAATTCTTTTAATATCTTTTCTGATTCTTTCTCCTTCTCTTCTCCTTCTAACTCCCACTACATATATTTGTTGTGCTTAATGATGTGCCACATTTCTTTCAGGCTCTGTTCATTTTTCATTCATTTATTTCTCTCTGTTCTTAGATTTCACAATCTCTATTGACTTATCTTGAAATTCACAAATTCTTCGGCCAGGTCAAATGCACTGTTGAGTTCCTCTAGTTCATTTTTAAAAATTTCAGTTGTTGTACTTCTAACTATAAATTTCCATTTGATTTAAAAAGTAATTTCTATGTCTTTATTAATATCTCTATTTCATGTGGCTTTGTCATCATATGTTCCTTTACTCCTTTAATCGTGATTTCCTTGAAGTTCTTTAAACACATTTACAATGACTACTTTTAAGACTTTGTGTGTTAAATCCAGCATACGATCTGTCTCACGGGCAGTTGTTTTGGCTTTTCCCCCCCTGGTATGTGAGTAATACTTTCTTGTTTCTTTGTATGTCTCATAATCTTTTTGTTATAGAAAAGTAGACATTGTAAATAATGTGTTGTAGCAACTCTGGATAAATTAGTCCTTCCCTTTGGAAATTATTTACTTGTTTACTTTTTTGTGACTTGCTGGATTATTTTAGTTAAGTTGATTTTCCTGCATGAAGCCTCTGGTGTTGCTCTTAGCGGGTGCATCCTTGGGTATGCCCACAGTCACCCAAAGATGACAGTGGTTTTTGCAGTGCTCTCTTTAATTGTATCTTTCTCTGACCACACGCAACTGTTAAGTTCCACTAATTGGTGGCTGATTGCCCTATTGTTTTCAACACTGCATACATTTCTTTAAAGACTGATCCCATCAAAACCAGACTCCTTTGAAGAGATAGCTCCTGAGGTCAGTGTTTGATATCTGTTGTGACTCTCAGAAGGGCTCTTTCCAGCTGTCTCTTTCCTTGCTTCTCTCCAGTAAAATAGCTGGTTTATAATTTAGCCTGTATCTCCAATGAACCCATCAATTTCCTCCCAATTGCTTTTTACCACAACCTGCAATGTTTCTGAGAGTGCTTTTCGGCTTAAACTTGTCCACACTTGGTTGCAAATGAAGTCAGTTCCTTGTTCTTTCTTCCAGGCAAAAACCTCTGAAGCAAAGCTCTAGTGCTGGAAGTAGGGCAGTGGTGAACTTTTCTCTGAATGACACATCAGATTTAGGAACTGAGCGCTCAGTATATAGGGAAAATAGCCTCAGGTCTCCTCAGCTTACCTCTCTGTGTGGAATCCTTGCTCCACCAGTTGGGCAACAGTGATTTGGTCTCCAGCAGTCTCTGTGGATCTGTGCCCAAGGTAGAGCCTCCATGCCATGAGCTGGGCTGGGAAGAAGAAGGAAGCCCTCACCACCTGGCTGAACTTGCCTGCAACATAGAGTCAGCACAGGC